TTTTATGAATGAAAGCCGCAGGTGACATTCAGAGTTTCCCTCAGGTGAGTCTGGAAAACGAAAAGTGTTTTGAGCGTCTTTAAAGCTCCTGCAGCTCTGCTCCGACACAACACCAGCACACATCTGGACATCTGAGCACTTCTCTCCACACCGACAAGATCCGGACTTTATTTGTCAAAATGCTGAGCAGGGTCTGGTTTGCGTGCGTGTTTCTCGGTCTGTACGGCGCATGCGCGTCGCTGAGCTGCAGGTGGATGGATCATAAATTCCGACAGTTCAGTGAGAACTCCTTAAACCTCCTGGATGTGATGGTGAGAGGCTCAGCATGGCCCAGATGTTGTGTTTTGTTGTTGTGGAGTCCAACCAACGCTGTGTTTGTGTGTCCGTGCAGGCTAACAACTCCACCAACAGCACTGAGGATGAGGAGGAGAACTCCGTGGCCTTCCCTCATCACCTGTACAGCCAGGCGTCCAGAGCTTCAGTGAGTCTTCCTCAGCTGATGCTCAGTCTGAGCCGTCTGGAGGACAGAACCAGAGAGCATCAACAGGTCCTGATGTTGTTCTTGTTGTTGCAGGCTGAGGAGAAAGTAGCTTTCACGGCTCAGGTCCTGAAGGAGGCGTCTGCCCTGCTGGAGGAAGACGATGGCTCTTCATCATGGGATGAGGGGACAGCTGAGAACTTCCTCAGTGTTGTCTGCAAACAGGCTGAGGAGCTGCTCTCCTGTGTAGGTCCACTCTCAGTGAGGTCTCACCTGAACGCTTGATCTGCAGCGCTCTGTTGGTTTCCTGCTTTAGCTGTTTGTAAATGTAAACATTCGGCTCATTCAGCTGATGGCTGCCGTGGATTTTTGTTTGTAACTTTAACATTTTTCAAAATATTTAATTTTCACATCAAGATATTTTTTATTTCAAATCATGGTTTTGTTAGAAACCTGCTTCGGCTTGTTGCTCTGTTTGTCTGTTTTGGCTACTTTTTGGCTTTTAGTTACTGTTTGGCTATTTTTAGCTTTTATAAATCTTTCTTCTGCTTTTAGTTTTTATCTTATCGTTGCTATTTTTAACTACTTTGCTCATTTTCAACTTTTTAAACAGTGTTTTGTCAATTTAAGAAAGTCTTTAGCTTTTATTATTTTCCTTTTAAGTGTTTGCTATTTTAAAGTTTTAGCTACTGTTCTGCTAGACTCTTCCCCTTTTTTGCTTAGCTTTGGCTGTTTTTTAATTAATCCTTTACTAATTGAAGTTTTTAGTGATAGTTTAGCCATTTTTTCTCAGCAGTTTTGTTTCTTTTAAATAGCCTTTTGCTGATTTTAGCTTTTAGTTAATGGCTTTGCTAGCTTTTATTTGTGTTGGAGTTTTGCTCCTTTTGACTTTTAGTTATAGTTTTTGCTCATTTTAGCTTAGCATTTAGCTGGTTTAGGGGCTTTTATCTAATTTTTTTATGTTTGCTTCAGAGATTATGTTTTGCTCACAATTTGCTTTTAGCTTGTGTTATGCTTCTTTTGACTTTTAGTTATAGTTTTTATTTTGCTCATTTTAGCTTTTTACTAGCATTTAGCTGGTTTAAGGGCTTTAAGCTCATCTTTTTATGTTTGCTGTAGATTGCTGTTTTGTTCTCAATTTGCTTTTAGCTTGTTATGCATCGTTTTACTTTTAGTTAGTTTTTTGCTCATTTTAGCTTTTTGCTCAAATTTAGATGTTTTAGTCTTTTAGCTTATCTTCTTTATGTTAGCTCTACAGATGGCATTGCTAATTTTTTTTGTCGATTTGCTTCTTTTAGCTAATGTTTTGCTTCTTTTGACTTAACAAGCCTTTTCCTTCTTGTAGTTTTTTTAGTTAATATTTTGCTTCTTTTAGTATACCAACTCAGTTTCAGCTTCTTTAGCTACTTTCAGCAGTCATTCAGCTCTCACTGTTTCTCACAGAAAATCCTTTGTCTCTAGTTTGACCTTTGACCTCCTGGGAAATGTTTTGAACTCTTCTTGTTGTGATGAATGCAGACCGGAGCTCACGGCCACATGAAGAAGAAGAACACGAAGCTGCACCTGTACTTCAAGAGGCTGTCCAGTCACGTCCTGAAGAGACGGGTCAGTTCTTTTTCTGCTGCTCTGACACGCGTGATGTTTTCAACACGCATGTTGGACTAACGATGGGAACGTTGTTGTGTCTGCAGGGCCAGAGCGCTGAAGCCTGGGAGCTGATCAGGAAGGAAATCAGAACTCATCTGATGAGAGTCGACCTCCTGATTTCATCTTTACTCGCTCACAACTAACACTCACATCAACCAGTGTTCATTTATTTATTATTTATTT